CCAAGACGTGATGTTGCTGTAAAACCACAAGAACAAGAAAGTGCAGCTCAGTCTGTTTGTCTTCTGTACCTCTCACTTAACAAACAGGATCCTGCTTTGATGGTGCTCCACATACAAAATGTTCACTACAAACTCAGGATGATTTCTTAGGCAGTCAAAGGTTTCCTTTTTGGTCCTTCCTGTGGATCAATCCGGCGCATCGCCTTTGCCTCTCACCTTTTTTCTATTCCGCTGGAAAGGGAAACCATTTGAACAGAGGTTTGCAGTCACACACATCTGATTCCCTTTTGCATTTATGGAGTTCGCAAACTTCCGAAGCCCATTTCTTGAGCCGTTTTCTGCTGTTAGGATCCAACAACCACACAATTACGATGTCCGAATCCCAAAATTAAATATGACAATATCAGAACCAGAAACAAAACTGATATGGTTCAAAAGACTTGAAAAGATCGGCTTTGTCAATAGACGCATCCCACTGGGAAAACAAACATGGTGGTCTGATGAAAAGTCCGAAATTCATGATGCATCTATAGGTTTTTTTTTATTTTTTAATCAAGTTAGCAAAGTAAACTATTTAAAAGTACAGTATGAAAGTTGCAGGAGGTGGCACATTACCTGATTCCATGGAAACAGAAAGCTAAAACCATACTTCGGAACATTCCACGTGGAGAAGATCATATGCTTTCCCTTATGCCAAATAAAAGTCAGGTTTGTGGAGATGCAAGCCCGTTTTTCAGTGGAATAAACACCAGCAAAATGTATGCTTTTTGTAGTCTATTTTTGACTAGAATGTTACAAACTGTGGCTTTAAAGTCCTTCTTCTATACCATATGTAACCTCCACATACTGTACATTTGGGAGATTCTGAACTCCAAATGGAAGGGGTGAGGAAAGTTTTCTGTCCTTATGGTGCAAAACGAGTGTGTGAAAGTCGAACTACAAAGATGGAGTCTCTGTTTGTGGGGCAGAAGAATGAAATATTTATCCACACAGCTCACAGAAGTCTACAAAGACAAAACACACAGGACTGAACAGGAGCAGGTTCAAACGGACTCAGAGACACAGAGACGGACAAAACCACCGGGGACTCGGGCTGTACCTGCAGAGCCTGCGTCTCCAGATGAAGATGGACAGATGAAGGGATGGATGGAAGGATGGAGAGATGGAGGGGTGTGGAGATAGAGGTGTAGATAGATAAAGAACAAGGAAAAACAGGAGGAAAAGAGGAAACAAAAACAAATTCATGAAACAGGCGTTCATCATGGAGCCTCATGATGACATCAATGAGCTGTTTTATGCTGTGTCTGAGTATGGAAGCACAAGTGGGACAAAATTATCTTCATAGTATTTCATATGCAGTGTTGGGGAGTAACAGATTACATGTACCGGAGTTACGTAATCAGAGTACAAATTATGAGTAACTGTATTCAGTTACAGTTACTGTTTCAGTGAGTGGTAATTGGATTAGAGTTACTTTATTGAAATAAATGGATTACATGGTGGTATTTGACTGTTTTCACATTTTGGACTATATCCCCCTTTTTTTTTTTTTTTTTTTTCTCAGTAATTCCACTCATTGCCGAAAACTAAACCAGGTCTAAACTAGAGCTAAACCAGGTCTAAAACAAGTCTAAAACCAGGTCTAAACCAGGACTAAAACAAGTCCAAAACCAGGTCTAAACCAGGACTAAAACCAGGTGTAAACCCGGACTAAACCAGGACTAAGCCCGGACTAAAACAGGACTAAAACAGGTCTAAAACCAGGACTAAAACAGGTCTAAACCAGGACTAAAACAGGTCTAAACCAGGACTAAACCCAGGTCTAAATTAGATCTAAACCAGGTCTCAAACAAGTCTAAAACCAGGTCTAAACCAGGACTAAAACCAGGTCTAAAACAGGATTTAACAGGACTAAACTATCAATAATATTTTTAATTTGGTTCAGTAAAATCTGGGCTTTTCATTTTCCTTTAGCAAACAAAACTTCTTATGTTACGATATCTTAGTTTGCTTCTCTTCAGCAAATCAAGTAATCCAAAGTATTCAGATTACGTTACTCACTTTAAGTAATTTAATGGATTACGTTACAAACTACATTTTGAGGTATGTAATCTGTAATCTGTAGGGGAATACATTTTAAAAGTCACCTTCCCAACACTGTTCATATGGCGCAGCGTTGAACAGCCCTTCCAAGAATGATGTATTTAGAAGTAGGGATGGGCGATATATCGGTTGAAGTATTGGTATTGACCGATATTGATTGTGTGTCGATATCGATATCTTTTTGTATTTCAACTTAAGCTTCACCAGTATCAGCAAATAATAGTTATCGGTCACAACAGATGGGTGGCAGTAGCTCCGTTGGCTGAGCAGGTTGAAGGTTGGCGGTTCGAATCCCACTCTCAACATAAATATCATTGGTTGAGCGGTCGGTCATATTGCTGCGATTCCAGCTCCCACAGATGAATGCTGTCATTAAGTCCTTGGGCAAGACACTTAACCCGCCTCACCCCTAGTGTCTGCGTACACTGGTGTATGAGTCCTTGTTGTAAAGTGCTATGAGTGTCCTGAAGGTGAAAAAAAGCAGTATAAAATCAAATCAAATATCAGATATCTGTATCGGCTCAAAAATAAATAAATAAATACATAAAAAATCCATCGGCCCATCCCTATTCAAAGACAAACACAAATCTTTGTTTTATATGTTCCAGCTCAGTTTGAGTTGAGTTCACTAATTTCAGCAGGATTTGTCAAACTGTTGTTGCCTATAATCTTTTTTGTGCAATTTGTCCATGCAATATTATCATATAAAATTATTTTGTTGCTAATCTCCAAATCAATGAACTAAACCAATCACTTGGTTTCGGTTAATCTTTATCTGTAGAGACTTTGTTTTGATAATTATGCAGATTTGAAAAAGTTGTACTAGCAACAAACCACAGACAAAAGAGACTAAAATAGTCCTCCGTGTAATTTCAATAATATCAAGAACATAGACTGTATCTACAAATGGACATAGCTCGTTTAAACAAGTTTGCATGTGCCTCTTCTGGTTCCTACTCTCTGGCTCTCATTGACTTACGCTGGAATATTGTGGCCCTTTCTCTGTAACTGTTGCTGTGAGTCTCGTCATTTTGGTCTTAAAATGTTCGTATTCACCCTTCCAGACCGACAGTATTGTATAAGATACCAGCGGACATAACTGCATAACCGCGCAACTTTGCAATCATAAAAGATAGAAACATACTGGCAGTTTCAGGTTTCTGAGCATATTTCTGGCATTATTTATCCTATGCTGCGTGATGATGTTGGGAAAACGAGTGTCCAAAAGGAACTTTGTTTTCCATCAAACTCATGCGCTCCATCTATGTTGATCGGCCCAAACTTTGCCAAAGAGTGAAGTGAGTCAAAATAGTCGACTGCTCTGAGCGCCTGTGTTCGTAACAATTGAAAAAGTCGCTGTAAGTGCAGTTTTTTCTCAAATAAACTGCAAATTACATGTCTTGGTTTGTGTAATTGCGCATCCCTGCACTTGCTATTTTTATTTGAAAAGTTTATTTGAGCCCAAATGTACAAATCCAAATGTAATAAACATGGAAATGCAGGAAGTGATGTGGCTCTGTGTCCTGGACCTGACACCAGCTGTTTCCATGACTGACACCAGGAAAGTCATAAGGCCATTGCACTTTTTTGTTTTGTTTTGAGGCAATAAGGATATTTTTAGTTTACTTACACACTTGATATTTTTGCACTTTTGTAGCTAAGGCCCTAAATTAAGTTTTTTGTCCAAAAAGGTGAGGACAAATGTACTAAAATTGCCTTTAGGTCTGGAAGGATTATCCCGCTCTTCATGATCCTGTTTGTTTTTTCCCTGCTATTTTGTCCATAAAAAAACGAATATTCATAATCTGGATCCGAAACTGTGCTCCTGTAACCATCAGCATTGCAAACTTCTTTTGAGTGGAGCTGAACACTGTGGGTAACGTCACACTCGCTTAGTCCACTTTTTTATACAGTCTATGATCGAGACACAAGTGACATAAACACAAAATGCTAAATAGTTATGAAGATTCGACTAAAATGTAACTGACCTGAGTTCTTGGGCAAAACTGTATTTTTTTAAACTTTAATATATGTTTCGGTTCATTTGTTTGCATGTTTTCATGTGGTCACATGGTGCATTCTGTGTCTTCCACACTCGTCAGAGCATAAACCCGTTACAAACAAACAGCAAAAATGTGTCATGGTTTTACCTGTGGAATTTACTCCGCTCGGCTCGACTGTAACGAAGGGGGCGTGGTCAAGGTGGGGGTGGGTGTGGTCATGATCATGGTGGGAGTGGGTGTGGTCATGATCATGGTGGGAGTGGGTGTGGTCATGATCATCGTGGGAGTGGGTGTGGTCAGGATCATGGTGGGGGTGGGTGTGGTCAGGATCATGGTGGGGGTGGGTGTGGTCAGGATCATGGTGGGAGTGGGTGTGGTCATGATCAAAGTGGGTGTGGTCAGCAGAGAGGGGCGTGGTCATGCCGGTGGAGGCGGAGTCAGGGAACAGGTCGTTGGACAGGGAGGCGGTGGTGGAGCTGGGGTGATCGGGGGCAGAGGTGAGTTCGGAATGTTCTGAAGTTTCCGGGACAGGCGTGGAAAAGTGGACCGTGGGGGTGGGGGAGAAAGTAGTCGAGGTCATATCGGAATCTTTTTACAGGAAAACCACAACAACAACAACGATCGGGAGCAGCGGGCAGAGCAGCCAAGCGCCAAAAAAGTGCCAAAATAGGATCAAAATGAAGCCAAAAACAGGGATAAAAGTGCAAATATGGCAAAGCGATTGGCAAAGCGATTGGAAAAGCGATTGGAAAAGCGATTGGAAAAGCGTTGGTGATGGCGGCGCGAGTGGATGAGAAAAAACAGAACACAACAGAAATCATAAAGAGAAATAAAAGATGATAAAAAGAATTCAAATTAAAGGTGCGTTTGGTTTGCGTAACCGTGGAGACTGACCTTGTACGAGCAGCGTGTACTCCCCCTGGCCCTGGCTCCCGATGCCGTTGCCCGCCTGGCACAGGTACACGCCGTTGTGAGACTTGTTGAGCATCTCGAAGTGAAGGAAGGCGCCGTTGATGGTCACCTGAGGGCCCAGCTCGCCGTCCTTCTTCTGCCACATGAAGGTGGTGGGTCTGAGGGACAAAAGGAGAAAGCATGTTAGGAGGAGTTCTGTAGAGGTCTGACATTACGTTTAAAGGGACTGCAGATGGAAACGAGCGGTTTAGCCATAGACCAGTGTGGAACATCTTTGTTTTTATGCAGCTAATGTCTCTGCACTTAGTCCATTCAAATACAGACTAAACTAAACTTAAAGGGATATAACATTTTTTGGACTATAAGTCACACTTTTTTCAATGGTTTGGGTGTTTCCTGTGATTTATACTCCGGTGTGACTTATATATTAAAATTTTCAGACTAACAGCCACAGCCAGGATCTGCTGCTCCTGTTCCTCCTGCACCACTGTCACTTCACTCTACTGCACATGTCTCCTGCAGAAAGAGCCTCTGTTCTGTCTGTATCATGTCAGTCGATCGCACCGTTACTTCTGTAACACTGAAAATTTTTTATTGAAATATTCTGAGAAGACCAAACACAAATGTCCCCTAAAAAGAAAATCATATTTTGCAGATTACAAGCTGCAATTCATAAAATCTGCAGCTGAAAACGATAATCGAGCAGCAGAAAAAAGTTTGGAGTGAGTGAGAAACTTGTGACACCGGGAGGATGCACCATGAAACTTTCCTGAAGTCACTGGATGGATGGACAAAGTCTGGACTTCAGTAACAACAAAACCATCCTGTCAGGATTCAGAAAGACCAGAATAATTCTAACTGGAACTGATGCTGAGTCTGACGACAGCGACACAGAAGAGGAAGAGGCGCTCTGTTTACCTCTGGAGGTCGTGGAAGAAGTGACACAGAGGATGAAGAATTGAATAGATTTAGTGATTTGGAGTGAGATGGAGAGTTTGTTAAACTTGTTCTGTTCTGTTGTTTATGTTATAGTTTATCTGAAGAACTGTTCATATGTGACGTTAACAGTCTGTTGTTCTCTCTTCTATTGTTATTACTACAACTTGACTTTACACAGGAAATGTCGGTTCCTGGTTTCTGATCTTATAAAATAATTTCCCCCCCAAAAAATACAACTTACAGTCCAGTGCGACTTATATATGTTTTTTTCTTCTTCACTGTGCAACTTTTGGTTGGTACGACTTGTATTCCGGAGCCACTTATAGTCTGAAAAATACGGTACCCATTTTCCCTGTGTAGTAAAGTAACATTTGTTTTGACCCAGTGCAGATATGTTGTAGTTCAGGGTGGGACAAGACTCAACTTTCACAAAACGAGACACATAACGACATTATTTCCACGAGAACGAGGCAAGACAAGATTTTGACATAATTTGTAATAATTAAGTAGTGCATCCATTTCACAATTTGGCTTAATGATTTTTTATTTATTTTATGTAACACTTTAGAGATCACTGTAGTCCTGCTTTTGGTGCTACAGCTTCTCAAATTGTATAACTCGCCAGCTCTTAACTCTTTTTTTTATCCAAGCCAAAGGTAAATTCAGGGGACAACAATCTCACGAGACCGTTTTTTCTCTTGTGTGCACGATCTTGTTGCAATTTTGTCTCGCGAGATCTTGTGGCACTAGATCTTGTCCCGTTCTTAGGTGTAGTTGTTGTTGTTTTATTCTCAGAAAATCAGGAAGTGTGCTGTTAGCATGTTTGTTACTTTGATGGCAAAACTCATCATGGTGAATAAATAAAATGCTTGGAACGTGTTATGCAAGTGAAAGTGTTCATTTTAAACAGTTTGCAAAGGTCCAGAAAGAGACATTAAACTAGGCTTTTAAAACTCATTAGAACACCTCATCAATAATGATTTACTTTATTGATTTTACAAAGCTCTCATAGCTTTAAAACTTAATCATTATTCATTCACTCAACACTCTGTGGTGCGATAAGTACTTCAGGCCACAGCTGGGCAGTTCTTTCTGGTCAGATTGTGCAAAAACAAAACTCAGATTAAAGTCTCACTTGGGTAAAAAAGCTTCAGACAGAGCAGTGCCTACAGTTACATCAGCTGTAAAGTAAAGTTATTTTTCTATTTTATTTTGGCCTGTACATATATATATGGGTCCGGTCAAGTGGTAATGGAGGGAATCAGGGGCAGATTTTTGACATTCAAATGTCTCTTATTCAGAAACTAGAGGGACTATTGAAATAAGTAAAGTATCAGAATGTAGGAAAGAGTTACACTCCAACAGGGTCAAGTTAAACCTGTGATATTCTTTCAAGTTGTTGACAAAAAATTTAAAAACTCATGTCGGTAACGGAGGGAATGAAATATGCAGCACTTTTTGGTCAATAAATCCAAACAGTGATAACTCTTGGTTCTCACTTCCATATCCTTAACAAACTGGTTTGAATATTTGCTTCATATAGTTTTCTACCATATGGTACAAGATTAGGTTGAAAAACCTCTTACTTTTTGAGTAATGAGATTTTTTATGAAGAAAGGTCATGGTAACGGAGGGAAAAGTAACGGAGGGAAAATTGTCCAAACAAGTAGAAGGTGCAGGATTTTACATCATTTGTCGCTTTTTTCTTCTGAAAAACTTTAATATTACTTCAAAATGAAAGAAAACAATTTCTATAAAATGTCAGTCCTTCCAAGCAAATTTTTATCATTTTAAATAAATAAAAAAAAATCATGTCCCTTCATCAACAGTTCAAAGATGGAATAACACAAGATATGATGAAATACATCCATTAATTTACATGATTTGCAGGTCTTTGAAATTTGGTAAATAATTTTTGTTCCATGTTTCATTCATGGTCTGTTTAAAACATATGGAACTTTAGAACCAAAAATGGTACAGAAAAAAGGTCAACAGTTTCATAAACTAGAGTACATATGTATCTGTTCAATACATTTTTATATCAGATGTATTAACTTGAATTTTTGCCCTTGCTGTTTACTTCTGCTTGACCACATATATTTATTAGCGTAACCAGATTTTCAAAATAAAATCTGAAACATCCCTGGTTTGTGGTGGTTGGTAATAATAAAATTGTGCATAATTCAGGAAAATTGTTCAGCACTAATGTGAGTCAGTATAGTCACTTTTTCTTTATGTTTTGATCATTTTTAAGCAGTTTTTTCTGTATTTTACCTAAACAAGTGACAATTTCTGCCTCTTTTTACTGTTGGCAGGGATCAGATTGGTCAAAAATAGGGACATTTCTTGTATAAAACTGGGAAAATCAATGAGCTCAATGGGCTGGGAAAAATCAGGGCTGAAAACTGGGACTGTCCCGGGTAAATAGGGACGTCTGGTCAACCTAACACTGATATAATGATGCCTTACTTGACACCTTGCTACTTATTTTGAATTTATTATGATCATTTATACATTTTTACATGTTTTTTCACGATATTATGTTGTGATGTGTGAGCAGCTGTGTCCAAATCATTTCCCTTGTGGATCAATAAAGTTTGTCTAAGTTTAAAATGAAAAATAAGTCGTGTTTTTGCAGTGTGTGAGGTGAAGTCGGTGTTTGTGACGAGTGTAAAAGTGAAGAGTGAGCGGCTGTAGCCTCCAGCTGAACTCTGCACTCTCCAAAAAACAACAGAACACAGACAGAGAGATGGACACGGAGAAGAGATGAGAGCGGACAGGACGACAGGGACAGACAGAGAGACAGAAGAGAGGGAGGAGAGACAGAGAGGGAGGAAGAGAAGAGAGAGGAAAGGACAGGAGAAGAAGGGTGGGAGGGAGAAAGAAAGAGAGGAAGGGAGGGAAGAAGCTGGGACAGGAGGTGACTGAGAGAGTAGAGAGAGCGAGGAGAGACAGAGAAGGAGGGAGGGAGGGAGAGGAGAGAGAGGAAAGGACAGGAGAAGAAGGGTGAGAGAGGAGAGGAAAGAAAGAGAAGAAAGAGAAGAAGGGAGGTGAGGGAGACAGAAGCTGGGACAGGAGGTGACTGAGAGTAAAGAGAGCGAGGAGAGACAGAGAGAGAGAAGAGACAGAGAGGGAAAAGAGAGACAGACAGAGAGGGAGGAGAGACAAAAAGAGAGGTTGAGGAGAGAGGGGGGAGGAAGAGGAGAGAGAGGGAAGAGAGACAGAGAGAGAGGGAGGAGAGACAGAGAGAAAGGGAGGGAGAGAAGAGAGAAAGAGGAGAGACAGAGAGAGATGGAGGGAGAGGAGAGAGAGGGAGGAGCGACAGAGAAAGGGAGAAGAGAGACAGAGAGAAAGGGAGGGAGATGAGAGAGTAAGAGGAGAGATGGAGAGACAGAGAGAAAGGGAAAGAGGGGAGAGAAAGAGAAGAGGCAAAGAGAAAGGGAGGGAGAGGAGAGAGAACGAGGAGAGACAGAGAGAGATGGAGGGAGAGGAGAGACAGAGAGAAGAAGAGGGAGAGGAGAGAGAGGGAGGAGCAACAGAGACAGGGAGAAGAGAGACAGAGAGAGGGGGAGGGAAGAGAGAGGAGAGACAAAGAGGGAAAGGGGTAGAGACAGAGAGAGGGGCAGAAGAGAGAGAGAGGGGGAGAGGGAGAGGAGAGAGGGAAGAGAGACAGAGAGAGGGTGGAGGAGAGAGAGACAGAAAGAGAGGGAGGAAGGAAAGTAAGAGAGACAGAAGCTGGGACAAGAGGAGGAAGGGGGGAGGGAAGAGAGACAGAGAAAGAGGAGAGAGGAGAAGAAGAGAGAACAGGGAGAGAAGAGAGAGAGACAAAGGTAGTGAGAGGAGGGAAAAGGAGGAATAAGAGGAAGAGGGAGAGGAGAGGGACAAAGAGGAGAGAGGGAAGAGAGGGGGAGAGAGGAAGAGGAGAGAGAGGAAAGGACAGTACAGGAAGTGTGGGAGAGAGAAAGAAAAAAAAAGAAAGAGGAAACGAAGTGAGAGAGAGAGAGAACCTAGGACAAGAGAAAAAGGGAGGAGGGGAGGGAAGGGAGAGAGAAAGAAGAAGAGAGGCACAGAACAGTGAGGGAGGTGGGGGGGTGAGAAGAGAGGAGAAAAGAGAAGAGAGGGACTAACAAGAGGAGACAGAGAGAGAGAGTGAAAGGAAGGGGGGAGAGGAGAGAGAAAGAGAGTAAGTCACAGAGAAAGAGATGGAAAGGGTAGAGAA